GAAAAGCTGAACAGATTTCATCACAGTAGATGTCTTTGTGAGAGTTTTCATACAATTATGTTATTTTATTCAATGCTTTGTAGCCACACAGAGAAGAGCAGCTACCTGAAGGCTGCTGCAGCAAAAGTCGTTCTGGATACTGTAACCCATGTGAAAAAGAAAGCCTCAAATTTAGAAGTACTTGACTCCCTGGTATAAATCTCAAATGTGCAACTTAAAACAGATAATGTGTACACTGGAGAGGAAGTAATGTCTCACTAATTTGGAAGATCATCATTTAGCCTGCAAAAGTAGTTTGCTGCTTTATCAAAAAACAAAAAAAGCCCTCTGTAAAGTTAAAACATCTTACTGTTTATCTTAGTTATATAAAAAGTTGGAGAAAATAAGAACAACCCAAAGTTTTATTTCTGTAGTCAGGCTGAAAAAAGTCAAAAGTCTCTTGAACCAACCATTTCTTTAATGTTAACTAGTAATGACTTCATGGATTTTTTTTTTTTTTTTTTAGAAATAGTACTACAGCTACTTTCAACACCATTGATATTTATTTAGACTATTTTTCTCCAAGTAATATTTCTGAGTTCAGTAATTTCAGTAACTACATCCTCCAAACCATCAATGTCTCTTTTAGACCCCCTTCCTACAAGACTGCTCAAGACTACAGTGGCCACATAACTTTACTGTGTTATTTAAGAGTAGTGGATAAACTGTTAGGGCGGCACTATCGTCTGACATCAAGTTCTGTTATCTGACAATGATGGCCACAGTTGGTGTGTGGATTGTGTTATGTTTTAATTAAAATGTAGTCTTCTGTATCCATACCCTAGGAGCAAAATGTGTGTGCAGACTGTTCTAACAGTAAAATAATTACTCCAGAAATTTTGGGGTGTGGTGTGAAATGTTGCTAAGAAAGAATGAAAGCAATTAGCTTTTTATAGCATTAGCAATAAAAAATGATAATACAGAGTAGGGCTGGGCGATATGGCCTAAAATCGCGATATAATCTGAAGCATGTGCGGCAACGATATATATCATGATATATTCTTTTCTTCTGTATAAGGTATTTTCCACACTATAAGGCACACTTAAAATCCTTTAATTTTCTCAAAAATCGAGAGTGTGCCTTATGTATG